ACTGAGCATCTAATCTAACAAAAAGTCAGGAAATGCGGTTGGAAATACTGACCACCCAGCCTTTGCAAGATATCTTACAGTTTCCTAACTTTTCTTGGTGTTGCCTTTTAAAATATCAACTCTTCTCCCTTCAGGATTATCAGTAATTGTAAAATAAGCAGGGGCTACGTTTCAATTTGAGGGAGTGACAAAAAAGAGCTAATAGTTGGAAGTGCCTTGTAAAATTCTGAAACAGCAGTGATCAGGTGGGTGCTTTAAAAAATTCTGACGCCTGGGTCTTCAGAGATTCTGATTTAATTGGCCTGGGGGTATAGTCTGGGCATACGGACTTCTTAAAGCTCCCCATATTTCTACTGTTCAGCCAAGGTTGGGACTCACTGCAATACACTTTCATAGAGCATCAGAGAGGAATGAACGGGAGGCTGATCTCCTATGGTCTTTACACAGAAAGAAAAACACCATGCAGGAAGATAGTGTGAATTCTGATAAACGACCTCAGGATTTTAAGAGTCACGAAACCCATCTGATTATGCTTTGACAATGGGGGCAGCAATGGAATCAGAGACCACTGGACACAGTCCTGGTAATGAAGAAAAGACCCAAATCACCTCAGGATGTCAGAGAAAAGGCATTTACTGGTGAGCCAGGAGATGGCGCACCACCAGAAATGGAATTTGGTTGACAGGAAGTAAAATAGCCTGGGAGAGCTACTGTCCACACCCAGAACCCACCCAAAGCTCTTCTGTGCACAGCAAGTGTCGCAGCGTGCAAAGCAAGGGACTTCAAAATGTACAAGTCGTAGCCATGGAGAGGACGGGAATATTTCGATCATTCATTAAAATGTATATTAATAATCATTATAAAAATAATTTTATGTTGAAATTTAAATTCTCCAATGAAAACAGCTAAAGCCCATTGTATTACTACTTCTCTTTGAAAACCACTGCAATAGCTCAGGATTTCCTTCTATTTATGAGTATATAATAATAGTAAGGTCAAATTTTAAGTATACAGTTTTGCCTTTCCTTTTACTTATTTAATATCTCACCACAATAATTTGCTTGATTTTAAAGTCATTTTTGTTCATGTGAACTTTTTAAGATTATTTTTTCTAGTTTATTATGATGTAGATAAGAAAACTACATATTATTGTATAATATTCTTATATTTACCTTTTATCTTGCAATTTTCCTATACTTTCATATTTTTAAAAGTTTTCCAGCTGTGTTCAGTGACTCACACCTGTAATCTCAGCAATTTGGGAGGCTGAGACAGGTGGATCACCTGAGGTCAGGAGTTCGAGTCCAGCCTGGGCAACATGGCAAAACCCTGTCACTTCTAAAAATACAAAAATTAGCCAGGCATGGAGTCAGGCGCCTGTAGTCCCAGCTGCTCAGGAGGCTGAGGCAGAAGAATCGCTTGACCCCAGGAGGCAGAGACTGCGGTGAGCCGAGATCATGCCACTGCACTCCAGCCTGGGCAACAAAAACTAAACTCCCTATCAAAAACAAAAAGTTTTTTATTGCTTTCTAATATATGGTCTTTTAATTTCTTACATTGGCTAAAACTTCCAGAATAATGTTAAATAATAATTGGTAATGAATATACTTGTTTCATTAGTGACTTGAATGAGAACACTTTTAACATTTTTTCATTAAACATGATGCTGGCTTTGGAGTTCAGTTCATTTTCTTTACTTATTTCTATTATTATTATTATTTGAGACAGTCTCACTCTGTCACCCAGGCTGGATTGCAGGGGCACAATCTTGGCTCGCTGCAACCTCTGCCTCCTGGGTTCAAGCAATTCTCCCACCTTAGCCTCATGCCAAGTAGCTGGGATTACAGGCGTGCACCATCATGCCTGGCTAGTTTTTGCATTTTTACAAAATTTAAAATACGAAAATTTTGTGATGTGTGTGTGTGTGTGTGTGTGTGTGTGTAAGGATCAAATCAGGGTAATTGGGATATTATCTTGAAATATACAATAAAATATCATTAACTATAGTCTCCATACTCTGCTATCAAATTCTAGAATTGTTCCTATTATTTCACTGTTTTCGTATCCATTAACCAATTTCTCTTTATCCGCCCCCACTTCCCCTCACCCTTCCCAGCCTCTAATCACCACCATTCTACTCTCTACCAGAATTTTTCAATTTTCTATTGGGCTGTGTTTATTTTCTCCCTGTAAATTATTATTTTACATGTTTATACTTTTTTGCTTTTATTCATGAGTAGGCCACTTAAAGACTTGTCAGTTTCATTTTACCACAAACAATCTGTTCTCAATTTGCATTACTTCTTTTGTTTGTCTATTTTCTAATTTATTACTATGTAATTCCTTTAGGTTTTCTTAAAGGTCTTTGGTTTTCTTATTCTAAATTGATGAATTGGTTAACCCTTTTCATTTCAGTATTTTGCTTATTAACACGAACATATCTTTTGGCTTACAGCTGTAGGACAACTCAGAACATCAGCATACCTGCACCATCTTACATGTTCTTTCTCCTCCTCTCTCAACTTTATTAGATGTGTCATTTCTACATTGGCATTGCTCATACATTTATATTTTGTTCTGAAACCGCAATCCCCATATACGCCTTGCAGTAAAAGATATTCAGTGCTTATTATCAGTTCTCTTGTTTTCTTTTTCCTTCCTCTTCTCTTTGTTGGATGAAGTTTATCCTCTGGAAGTTTATTCTATTGGGCTCATAGAACAACTCTTTTTGAGTTTTTGAGTGTCTAAAAAAGTTGCTTGCACATTCAAGTTACGGTTTGTCTCAATAGAAAATTCTTTGGTCACATTTTCCTTCTATGAAGATTTTATAGGCAGCTTTCTATTTTCTTCTTGCCTTGAATACTTCTATAGAGAAATATGAGATAAGTGTCTTCTCATTCCATTGTAAGTGACTTGACCTCTGCCAATGTACCCAAAGGATTATTTTTTAATTTCAATAACCTTATTAGGATTATCTCAGAATGGAACCTCTGTTTCCGTGTTTCCTGGTACATGTTGTGACTTTTCAGTCTCTAGAAGGCAGACTTCGGCTATTTCTGGAAAGTTTTCTTTTGTCTAATTGTTTGCTCCTCTGTGCCCATTTTTTGCCTGAGTTCTGTTATCTCACATTTTATCTCCATCTGGTATCTTGAAACTCTTCCCTGAGGTCTTGTATCTCTGCCTTGGGTTCTTGTTATACAGAGATGAATGATTTATTGCATGTTTTAAGTTCACGCTTGTTTTCTGTTTCTCAGTTATTCAGCAGCTCCATAGCACCATTTTTCTTCTGAGTGTTTGTAACCTAGCATTTGTTTGTCCTGGTTTCTTTCCTCTGCCCTCTCCATTTTTTTCTTGAGTATCTTTAACTAGACCTTGTGCTGGTTCCCTTTTGAGGTCTAAATGAATTGAAAGGTTTCTGAGCCAGTGTTTCATGAGAGGGTTTTGTTGGGGACAGGTGCATGTCTTGGCTCCCGGGTGTTTTGAGTACATTTTGCCTGGACTTCTCTAGTGTCAATGCCAACAGACAGCTGAGGAACTGCTGACAATGCCATTTTCTTGCTTTTACAGTCTCACCTGAACACTACGCAATCCGCTTGTCTGAGTGGCGTCTTACTCGGTCCTGCCTCCTCTGCTTCTCAGATCCAATCTGAGACCAAAGGAGACCATGCCACCAACCATTCCCACTTTTATGAACAAGGGATTTTTAAGGATATTTTGGTGAACAAGCCCCAAAACAGTCATATCAACCATACTACTGCAGCACTCTGATTTCTGGGATCTGATTTTCTTAACCACCCCTGGCCCTGAATTTCACTGCCCTGGTTCAGGCAATCATCATGCTTCCCTTTCTGTCAGAGTTATCAGATCCAACTGCCTCCTGTCTTCTGATTTCAGATACAAGGGTATGACATTGCACTTCAGGAAGCTCTAGCCCTACTCGTCTCTGGTCAATAAAGACACTGATATTTGTTTGATCCAGAGTGTGGCATAATTCAATATGGCTTTCCAAGTACATGACTTCTTCATTTGAAGACACAGTCTTAAAGGCATTGGTGAGTCTACCATGCCTGAATGAAAGACAAGCAGAATGCCAGTGACTGTGCAAAGTAGAACCCTTACCACACACGGCGGCAGCCAACCCACGGGCCATGATTACAACTTTGGTTTTAGAGAGGACAATATGGTTTTAGCAGACAATATGCACAGAAAAAAAAATTTTAAATTAAGTTGTTAGTCAAAGTCCACTGTAAGGATTTAAGTAACAGTAATAACACTAGCAATTTATTGAACAAGGAGTGTTGGATTGACACTTCAGAGTGTGGTTCCTGACTGTGAAGAAATGTGCTCGGCTGGTCTTTCTGACATCCAGAATCGTGGATATCTTCTCTCTGATTCTTGCTATACCTTCACTTGATATTCACTAATTTCCGAAGCCTTGAAACAGTTTCAATATTTTCTAGTTTCTCTGAAAATCTCATAAATTTTTATATTTTGAAGTCTGCTTATTGGTCTCAGATTCTATGCCATTGACTTTTTAGATTCCACATGTAAGTGAAATTGTAAAGTATTTGTCTTTCTGTCTAGTTTATTTCAGTTAGCATCATGTCATCCAGCTTGTATAAAAGGATATATTTTAACATTCTCACCACAAAAATGAGTTGAAGGGCTGGATATGTTAAATATCTTACCCACTACATTCAAAGGAAACTCCTTTGCCTTTTTTAAGCAAATTTTATTGTGTATATTTAAGGTTCACCTCATGAAGTTATAAGATACATGTAGATAGTAAAATGATTACTACAGTAAAACAAATGAACATATCCATCATTTCACACAGTTACCCGTTTTCCCTCCTCTGGCAAGAGCAGCTGTAATCTAGTCATCTACAAATATCTTGAATAAAATGTACTTTATTAACTATAATCCTCATGTTATAAATTAGATCTTTTATATTAGTTTATTTTCCCAGGTATTCTGACCTTTTCAGCTAGCAGAGGGTGAGTGGGATAGGTGGTGGTGGCATTGGGCATCTCAACCAAGAGCAAGGTAAAGACACTGAGGTGATGGAGGAGGTCAATGAGGGAGGGACAGCCTGGGGACCCACCATGGGATTTGAACATAAATGGTTTAAAACGTTAATGTGAACTGAGTGGACTGATGCCTCCCCTGCTGGGACATGTCCTTACAGAAACTCATGGAGCCAGAAGCTGGGACCAACAGGACGGCTGTTGCTGAGTTCATTCTGCTGGGCCTCGTGCAAACAGAACAGGTGCAGTCTGTGGTCTTTGTGCTCTTCCTCTTTGCCTACCTGGTCACAATTGGGGGCAACCTCAGCATCCTGGCAGCCGTCTTGGTGGAGCCCAAACTCCACACGCCCATGTACTTCTTCCTGGGGAACCTATCAGCACTGGATGTTGGATGCATCACTGTCACTGTTCCCTCAATGTTGGGCCGTCTCTTGTCCCACAAGCGTACAATTTCCTATGACGCCTGCCTCTCCCAGCTCTTCTTCTTCCACCTTCTGGCGGGGACGGACTGCTTCCTGCTGACCGCCATGGCCTATGACCGATTCCTGGCCATCTGCCGGCCCCTCACCTACAGCACCCGCATGAGTCAGACAGTCCAGAGGATGTTGGTGGCTGTGTCCTGGGTTTGTGCTTTCAGCAATGCACTGACCCACACTGTGGCCATGTCCACGCTCAACTTCTGTGGCCCCAATGTGATCCATCACTTCTACTGTGACCTGCCGCAGCTCTTCCAGCTCTCCTGCTCCAGCACCCAACTCAATGAGCTGCTGCTTTTTGCTGTGGGTTTTCTAATGGCGGGTACCCCCATGGCTCTCATTGTCATCTCCTATATCCATGTGGCAGCTGCGGTCCTGCGAATTCGCTCTGCAGAGGGCAGGAAAAAAGCCTTCTC